CACACGCCCAGTTTCATGGGCCGCATGATATTCTCATAAACAGGGAAGCTATTATCATTATTTTCACCAGTTTGTACCAGGTTTCCTTGGGTGATAGGCCAGGGCTGCACAGCTGGTTACATGTTGGTGCTGGGACAAGGAGGCAAGTTGTCAAGCTCGTAATTCTGTGAGCTGTCTCTGTATTTCTATTGTTTCCAAACTATTGCGGGGAAACATGGGTGTATTGTTAGATTCTGGTAATTGATCAAATTGGTAGGCTTCTATAACTCAAATTAAGGGGATCCACACAAGTAACAATCATCAAAACAATTTAAAATTAACTACAATCTCCATTTTACAGCATAAAAATCCCCAAAAGTCTATTCCTTTACTCTGAATTACTCTACAGAGTAAATCTACATTTACTCTGGACTTTAAATGTAGATTTCATTCTTTGTTAGGAACTTATATTATTATTGCATCCTTTTGTGTGGATGTTGTTTGCTCAAAGACACACTTTCTGGGTCTGGCTCGGCCACCAAATGGCTGTATAGCCTTTGGCAAGTCATTTGACCTCATGCTTCAAGTATTACTTCCTTTGTCATATGTCAAACTCTAGCACTGCAGTTTTGTGATTCTGTTTCTCCAGATAAACTGTAAGCTTCCTGAGGCAAGAATAGCCCTATTTGCTTCTTGTAGATTTACCACAATGTGTGTATTTAATAAATTGTTGATGATGGCATTGAAAGACTTATTGGCACACTTGAGTGGAGTTATAGGAAATCATTGCTGACCGCCTTATTAACAATTAACTGTCTATAATCTGCATATGTAATTTTCCTTTACATCAATAAAACTTCTGCTTCTGGTAAAAATGAAGTATTACCCCTTCACATCAGTTATTTCACATGTTAATACACTGGCTACTGATATCTTATTTGTACCGTAAATGACAGAATAATGTAGAGAAAGCCTATAAGTAGGAAAAGGGGTTAGTTAGGTAACATTATATAGGGCATCTTCAAAACAACAGTTCTGGTATTTCAAATGTCAAGCTAATTATCAGCAATGTTTAAATGCTATAATAGGCCACTTTTGCAAATGCTAAAATTTTCTAGCAGGTATGGACATTATAAAAATGTCACATTTTGCTGCTATTCTATTGCATGTCACTTAAATACAAAAATCTGAAAATAAAACTTAGAGCTGTAGACAATAAAGAGAAACCATTATTTGTTTTGCATATGACTGTAAAATTAATCGTCATAGTGATACAATTTAGAGTATTGTTTACTTGGAAGGAAGAGTAGAGAGGGTTTAATATAATGTAATCTGGTGAAGTGAAAATAATGCTTATTATAGATCAACTATGCAGCCTTTTAAATATAGGTTTTTAGTAATGCATATTCAGATATATATTTCCAAGCCCATTTGCTATAAAGCAAATTTAAGTATCAGCTTTATACCCTTTGGTAACCCCATATTACACATACAGTTTTAGAGAAAATGAAACTTTAATATGATTCCACATAAAATGGTGAGCCATGCCAATAATTCATATGCACTTCATATGCAAATAGTTTTATCTTATCCATCAATTATCATGTAAACATGGTATCACATGGCAAATTTCCCTGTAATACAGTACAGTACCTGTATATAATTATGGGTGCATTTTGCCAATGCAACTGTTACACAGAATTGTAATTAATTCCTCTGAAGATTACTGAGAGAGTTTTGGATACTGATGCTGTTTTGAACATTTATTACTGCTCTTTAGTTGGCTTTTTGCTGTGCCTCAGAGACAGATGTAAAATTAGTGTCTATTTTGAGCCAGCAAACAGTACATCTTTCCTCTTGTTTATTGAATTGCAGAAAGGAATTCTTTGGGCTCCCACTTCTTTGTGGTTTTTGAAGTAACCGTCTGTTTTCATGCCAGCCATGTTGCTCCAATATATGTATAAAATTTTGCTGAGTCTCACAGTAGGGTGGTTTGACCCAACACAGAGGCCAAATGCAATCTGCAACAGTCTATGGGAGACCCTATGGCTTGTGAAAGCTGAATAAAAGAGTATGTTCTGTGAGTTTAGTATTAGGCATTTATCTGATACATTCTACCAGTGACCCTCACTTAAAACCAACATGCATGGCTTACTATCCAAAACTGAACCTCTTGTTTGCACCAATAACCTAAACTATGTTATTAAGATCTCTTATGACAATGGTGATGATGGTGACAAAAGATCAAAACAGGAACAAATGGGAAATTGAACCTATATTCATTAATAATGTAAGAGTTAAGGCTATTATGTATTGGCCATTCCATAGTAAGAATATTTTGTGGTGCAAATTTCCCCAAAACTCATACTAGGCAAATCTACTGATGAGAACTGAGAGAAAATTTTAAAGGAAAAGCCTGGAATCTTAGACATTGGGAGATGGAACTGGGGAAAGGGAGCAGGGTGCAGTGTCACCTCATGGGGTTTAATTTTGTCAAGTGGTCACTTGGAAAAGCAGAACGAATACGCTCAGGTGAACTCAGATATGAAAACTAAGTTTGTTATGTATCATTCTACCTGGATTAACAAAAAAATAAAAGACGGAGGATGGTGGCATCCCAGAACAATGGATTATGGGAATGAGTATCCTAGTTATCCCAGCTCTAGAAAGATGGCACACTGCTTCTGTAAGTGAACTTGACAGCAGTTATTTATTTAGTTTAAAAGTATTTACTGCTATTTGTGAGCATGAACCCTAAAGGTTGTGAAGTATTGTTGGCCTGTGGAGGTGATGGATGCTGTACTCCTGACCCTATATGGTGAGACATGACTTCATTGCTTGTTTAGATTGTTCTGATATTTGGGACTCCTCAAGGGCTGTTCATAAATCATCTCTCTCTCTCTCTCTCTCTCTCTCTCTCTCTCTCTCTCTCTCTCTCTCTCTCTCTCTCTCCTACAAGAAAATATTTCAATTGTATTGCTGCAGGAACACTTACGTGTCGCATGGGATATTGTGGTCCATGCAGAAAAAGACCTTAAAAGGCATGTTTTTTTTTTTCCAGGATAAAGGCCTTTTAATGCCTGTCCAGCCTTAGATAATTTTATTCACTCCTTCTGGACCTTTCTTTATTCATCCTGTGCCCAGAGATCAGTTTTTAGGAGGTGGGTTGAAAGCTTCCCAGGCCTCAGGAGCTTTTGTTGTAGACACCCCCTTCCCCCCACCAACACAGCGTTCAGAAAATTTGTAAAGAATCTTCTGCTTGTTGCTAAGAAATGGTTAAATCTCAGTCACCAGGAAAAAAAGCAGCACATTATTGATTGTACTAAGGTATATCTGGACCACACAGCTAGAGCAGAGATGTTCGAATATCTCTCTTTTTGTAGATCTGAGGGCATTACCCAGCCTGAACTTGCCTAAGCCCTTGTGGTCACACCTCTTGAAAAGGTTTTGTTTCCCCCGTCAATTGGTATTCAAACCAGGTCAGCAGATTCTGTTTGCCCGGCTCCGCTGCCGTTTTCATTTTAATTTGCACCTGTTGTGCAGTTGTTCGGAAGGCAAGTGCAGACCCGCGGATTATACAAAGATCATATTATGAGCAGATATGCACGGTGTAATCTTTTTGTCTCCAGCCTCACATGACAAAAAAAATCGCTCTCTTTTTGTTCCTTTTTTACTCCCTGGGAACCTGTCAAAGCAAACAGATATGACTGACTAAAATTTGTAACTAGACATGTTTCCAGAATTCTCCAAAAGCATTATGAACCTGACACAAAATCCTTTTCATTTTTTTCCCTTCTTTTCTGCCACTTTTGTATAATCCGATAGCTGGCAAGAGCCACTTGAGATAGCTCAGTTGATAACTTAGCAGAGGATTGCTTTATTAGGCGCAGAGAAATCAAAATGAACCTGAAAATTGTTTGTGCTTTTTTTTCCACAGGCTTTTTTCCTTTCTCTCTCTCTCTCTTGTTCCCATGATGTCATGGTTCTAACTTGTTTTTTTGTGTGTGTTTCTGGAGAGTTGGGTTAACAGTTCTTGGCAATCCTGTGTGTGCGTAACGGCTGGTGTGTTTCTCTAGCTGAGCTAATGCCCCGTGTTTATTACTCTAATCTTTCTTGTCTGGTGGTAAAGTGGACAATTTATGTACTAGCATGTAGGCCGAGAGCCTGTGAGGGCTGACTAATTCAGAAACAGCCACCTTCAATTGAGTTCACAGACCTTATTTACAGGCTGTCTATTTTAAGAAAAGCTACTGAGCATTGCCGGGGCTGAGGGCTGCAAAAGCAGCCCACCGGTTCTTCTGAGTTATTTTAGCACTTGTGTTGGTCTTTCCTGTGTCACTTTGAGATCTTCTATAATTATGGCACCATGAAGACATTTCAATGGTAGTATTAATGGCCCAGAAGATATGGCTTTTCCTCATTTTATGCTTAAAAGATTGGGACATAAATGGCCTTAGCACATGATAGTTGACACAGAAGCAAGCATGCGCAATTCAAATTGAGCAGGTTTGTGTGTATGTGTTTGTGTTTTGGGGTAAATGGATGGTCATTGTGTATGTGTGTGACTACTGTTGCTAGGAATACAGCCATAGTTATTACAGTAAAATCATACTGTATTTATGGTACAACATTATACAGTAAACATGTCATGTCACTGGGCTAATAAAATTGTCAATTGTAGATCTATTGTGTAAGTTTTTGTGAAGATCAAAAGTGCATGCTATAATATAGCTTTTTATATTTGAAGCACGGGCATATTTTGAGTGCATATGTTTTTGTGCTTTTAAAATTTCCTGTCTTTTTAGTACAAAAAATATTTAAAATGAGGAGTACCCAGCTATAATTGAATAAGAACAAAAATGCTAAAACATGAGGGATATTAATTGTATTTTCCTGACATGGCTGAGTAACTCAGTTATGAAAATATTAATTATTTTCTATTTAACTAAACAATTAGGGGAGCCTAATATTTTTCAACAGAGTGTTAGAGTATGTGTGTATGTTTTATGTTTCCTCTGCAGTGGTGAACTATGACAATGTAGTGGACACAGGTTCTGAAACGGATGAGGAGGACAAGCTTCACATTGCTGAGGAGGACGGTATTGCTAATTCCCTGGAGCAGGAGACGAGTCCAGCTAGCGTGCCCAACCATGAGTCCTCCCCACACATGAGCCAAGCCCTGTTGCCAAGAGAGGAAGAGGAAGAAGAGATAAGGGAGGGTGGAGTGGAACATGCCTGGCACAACAGTGAGATCCTACAAGCCTCTGTAGATGGTCCAGGTAAGAGTTTGAAACTAGGTTGCTGCTTCCTATGCTATTTTCAACTATACTGTTCCACCTAGCAGACTGCCTACAGCCAAATAGTTAAAATATTTCTTCCCATCGCCCTTGCAGAATACAGATACCAAAGCTGGTGACAGATTATGAACTGATGGCAATGTTATCACATTACAGGACTTACATTTTAGGAAGGGATTATATTTCAGTTTTGATGCAAGTTGAACATAAACTACACTTTCAACACATAACGTGAAGTATTTGTACAACATTTACAATGTGAAAATTACATAACACGATCAAGATCTATACTTTCCTGACAGAAAATAGAAGCAGAAGTAAATACATATATA